GATGTAAAATTTTGCATGTTTGCAAATTTTTTGCTTGAATAGCGGTATAAACCAGGCGATCGGCCTGAAATACGTTTTTGATGCAAGCTGTTCCCAGCTGGGGTAGCTTTTTCTGGTCCTAGTGGTATGATTTCTAGCGGAACATGTGCTACTAGAACATTAATTCAAGGCATAACAAGGCCCTGAGAGCTGGTTTGGTGTTTTTGCTCCTGAGTGCCGGGTAAATTTACCCGAGAAAATCTCGATTTGACAGCTTTTTGGGTTGTAAAGATATATGAATTTTACGCAGTTCAAAGGACGACAGGATATGGCAAAACCTGAGAATTGCTTCGAACTATCTGGGTTGGGACGGGTTAGTCCAACCAAATTTTTCGGCTGGTAGCTTTTTTTTTGGGGGCTCGGGGCGGGGGGAGAGGGGAGTTGCGGATTTTGCCTGGACTCGATTTTAAGGTCAGAATATAGCAGCAGGTCTTGGTTGCAAATTTCAGAATCTTCGCTTTGTTTCACGTAATTAATCTTTTAATTTTTTTAGCTGTTAGTTTTTGTGATGGAATAGGCAATAAGCGTATCCCACGGGACAGGTAATCAGTCATCCACAGCTGTGTATACCACTTAATGGATCGAAATATTTCTGCTCATTTGATCATTTTTTGCAAATATTTGTATATTTTTGCCATATTTCGTATTTGTCATATTTATCATCTATATTTCATATTTATTTTTTCATATTTATCATTATCAATTTTTTCCTGTATTTGACAGATTGAAGTTCGGAATTTGCCTTATTCCAAGATTCAGGGATCACTGCTATCCTTTTCAATGAAAAGTTGCTGTTAGCAAAGTGCTGATGATCTTGAGAAATATGAAATGTAACAAAAATATATAAATATATTAAAAAATAATCAAATGAACGAAAGTATTTCGATCCATTAAGTCGTATACACTTTCGAGAGTTGCGTGAAAAGTTTGAAGAAGGTATTGAAATCGCGAGTAGCCGGTTTTTTTTCCTTACAAAATCCCAAATATCCGTCAAAACCGAAAGTGTTTCATGAAGAAAAATTTATCAAAATTAGACTTCCGGGATTTATTGGGCC